GAATCATCATCATCATCATCAGCCATTATCAAACCACTGCTGTATGCAAGTCTCCCCAATCTATCGCCACCTCTCGCGGACCTGTGATGGAATCTTGATTTGAAGCTTTTGTGACTGCAGGAATCCATACACTTTGGTTCTTTCGGTAAAGTCACGTAGGTAGAAAAATAATAGATCACGACGTTTCGATCGCAACACAAGCAATCGTCATCAGTTGGGACAACCACAGCAAGAAAAAACTGCTGAAGTAGGCGAGGAATGTTGACTACAGCCCCCTGCACAAGCGCTGACCCCATCGCTCCATCTTCGCGTTTCCTCCTTTGGCTGCCACTCCACCGCTAGTCTCGACCACTCGACTCCATCCCTTCAAGCCCGCTTGTACTTTTCTCAACAGTCCATACGGTTAAATTTTGATTTAAAGCTTTCGTGACTGCAGGGATTCATTTTCTTGGTTCTTTCCGGTAAAGTCACGTAGAAGGGAAGTAAAAAAAAAATAAAATTATAAAATAATTATAAAATAATTTTATTATGTTTTATTTTTATTATTTTATTACTTCCCTTCTACGTGACTTTACCGAAAGAACCAAGAAGATGAGTCCATACGGTGTCGATAACAACTTCCATGCCTTCTCTTATCCAAACAATAATAAAAAAACAATGACAATTATTAGTAAAGGAGAGCCTCCAGGACCAATATTTTTTTAGGAGGTCCCTGCATTTGAATGTCTGGCCGATCCTATTCGTGAGTGTCTGGCTCTGTGTGGGGATGGGGCCGGAGAACGCGGAGAAGACCCGGCACGTGGGGAACCCTCCCGGCCAGACGCGTTGCACTTCAAGCGCTGCAGAATGCGCAGCTCGGGAACGCGGCCACGCGGGGTAGCGCCGTCGCTCAACTCGTTGCAGGGGCTCACGGTTCGAATTCCAGCGGCCGCCCTGATTAATACTGCGGTGTGCGACGAGCCCTAGACGTACGACGTGCCATCTGCTCCCTCGCTCATTAGCGAGTCTCAGAGCAGGCGACGCTCAAATCCCGCATTTGACAAATTTACATCGCAGATCGCCCAATTGAGATTAAACAGTACGGTACACAATACAGTACACAGTCATCATCGCCCCCTCTTGCGAAAATCTGGCGGGACCCCTCCTGAAAAAGTCATCGGATTCGGCGAGGCTTTCCCGTGTAAACAAGTGGAATACGAAGAGGCTACAACTATTTTTATTTTATTTTACCAGGCGAGGCCCACTTTTTTTACCTACGTGACTTTACCGAAAAAAAGAAAACCTAAGAGTATGAATCCTTGCAGTCACGAAAGCTTCAAATCTAGAATTATTCACGTAGCTCTTTTTCAGAAGCGACCCGGCTGCCACAAATGATAGCCCAACCAAGTGGCCTGGGAATGTATAGCGGTGGTTAAATGAAGACGACTACGGCTCAGCCACACGAGTTCCTCTCTCATTACAGATTCTCATAAGCAGGCTTTGTACCATTGTCAAAGGGAGGCTTTGTACCATTCGCAAAGCAGCCTTGACAGCGGAGTTAAACATTCCCAGCTCTCAACGCTTCCCAACGTTGGGCCCAACTTTTCTCTATTCCCTCTGCAAGTTTCCTCACTCTCGAGTTTCCACTTCTTCCTCGGGCGTTCTGCTGGGGTTCTTTTTCATTTTGGCACCGTGACCGCAAATGCTCTTTGAAAGAAGAAAAACACAGTTAAGATGTCTTTATCCAATTCTTCTAAAATATCTTAAGGAAGTAATAAAAGAGAGAGAGAGGGGGGGGGGGAACACCCTCGCCCCACCACCACCCACCCCACTCAAATCCGCGCTGTCCCACGAATGATCTCTCTCCCCGCGGCCGTACGCATTCGCCACCTTAAAGAAGGCTTCATTAAGGCCGGTACTTAATGGTCGTCTTTCCATCTCCCCTCCACGTATTACTTTAAGTTATTCTAATCTATCTATTTTCCGGACTTAATAACTGTAAAGCCAACGTTGACGCTAGTTACGCGGCTCGCTGCCTTCTTACACACACACACACATGTGCCGCGGGTCCGTCGCCATTACCACGTGGAAAATAATTGGGTCGTTAAAAATAGCAGGTGCGGTATTTCACTGGCACTGAGATGGTGGGGTAGGGAGATCTTGACGCTCGGGGCTGGCTGCAGAAGAAGAAAGCCCAGACGGGCTAAGAGACCACGGTCGCATTTCCTGTCACTGACACAAAATATATATACACGTTTTGAATCTGTGATTGTTAATTAATCCGCCGTTACCGTGTGGGTGGCGGTGGGGCAGCGGTTAGCGCATTCCCCTAGATCAAGAGTCGGCGACTTGCAGCTGGGAGCCGCATGCGGCTCTTCAAGGACCGCTTCGTGATGTTCTTTATTAAGGACCCCCCCCCCATCCCCCCACCGTCTCGTGTTCGCCACGAGCATCGCGGCTCGTGGGATATTGGAGTTCATCGCCGAATTCGAACAAAAAAATGTCTCTTCTCATTATTATTATTGTTATCGGTCGCCGACGCCCGCGCTACGCATACGGAACACATGAGTGCGATACCGGCCAGCGTGGGGAAGTATGGTCAGTCAGTCCCGGTGAGCCACACACCGCACGGGGAAGGCCTTCGTCTAGCAGACCATTGACGAAGGGCTGGCTATTGTAGTACTCTTACCAAATGGACAACAACAACAATGTTTATCTCGCTGTGCATTATGTCAAAGAGAGGCCATTAGACTGAAACCTCCCAATTTTGTGACTGAATTTGCTCGTTTATGCCACGGCTGGCTGAAGGGCCTCCACGAGCTGGAGCTCTAGAAAGCCCCATCTGAAGGGTATTTGGCCTACTCTTCCACGCTGTCTTGGTGTCTTGGAAGAGGTGGGAGTAGCCAGACGTTACCCCACCACGCTTAACCCGTCGATCGACTAACTGTGGTTATACCCGTTTAATGCCGCCGGGTGGACAGAGACGCGGGGTGGTGACAATTCTACATTGCTATGGCGGGGGGGGGGGGGGGCGAGTCTAACCATAGCACAACCACCGTTGACGTCTCCGCAAAGCGGTACTCATTTTATACCGACCCCAGAGGGATGATGATGGACTGAGTCATCCCCCAACCAGAAGTGGAACTCTCAACATTCTTATTGCGAGTATATACATACTGTACTATATATATCCCGTAGAGCAATATATAAAAAGCATTAACTACTGAGAGGCGTCGTGGTAATGTGGCGAATAGCGGTCCCTTGTAACCGTGTTCGGAAATTGCTGTGTTTAATGTGCGTGCCGAATATTCCTCCGTTATTACCTCGCTGCATCTGGTGGGCACGACGAGATGGAGGCCACAACTTTGGCACACATTCGCCTCGCTCGCTCCCTCTCTCTCTCTGCTCCCCGCCGTAACACCCCCCAATTCCCATTCACGGCCAATAAATCCCGAAGACAAAGATCCAGTCCCCGCCGCCGCCGTCCCCGCGAAGCCTGCGGTGCGGCAATTTGCTGTTCGCGAGCACCTATTAAGGTCGCCAGGGTGCACGAGGAGGGGTGAAGATGGGCGTGGTGTGGCCAGAACCGCCTTTGTCTCGCCGTCGCCGATGTTTTGCGCATTGTGCCAGGAAATCGGTCCAGGACTGCTTCGTATGATTTGTAAATCTACCGTGGGACGAGGAACACCAAACGCCGTGTGGGTGGTGGAGGCGACTTCACCATACTTCACCACGTGGAGCAGTTCGCAGGGAGCACTCGGCACACGGCACAGTAGCCATTTAAGGTTGAGTCAACCTTTAGGGGCGATATAATTCGCCACTGATGTTAGCTGTGGCCAGGAATCGAACTCGGGTTACCGGCTTCGGAGGGCAGTTCCATGGTCCACTCCGCCACCAATTAATCACACAACGTATCAACGCATACACCATCGCCCCCTCCCCCCTCCCTGCGTCGTTCTCTCTTCTTCCCTCCCCTCCCTCTCGACTCACATCCGTCGCCCACCCGTGCACGATGCAATTGCGTCAAGAGAGGAATAAACACGCAGAGTGCGCTAACGTGCGCGCTAAATGACGCGTATGATCACCCACAGTGGCTGGCCGACCGTGATTGACGTGAGAGTTCGTGCGTGTGGCCGCGTGTGTGTGCTGTGTGTGTGTGGATCTGTGACTGTGTGTGTGGATCTGTGACTGTGTGTGCTGTGTGTGTGTGCTGTGTTGGTAGATCTGTGACTGTGTGTGTGGCTGTGTGACTGTGTGTGTGTCTGTGTGTGTGTGGATCTGTGACCGTGTGTGTGTGTGCTGTGTGTGTGGATCTGTGACCGTGTGTGTGTGTGCTGTGTGTGTGGATCTGTGAGAGTGTGTGTGGCTGTGTGACTGTGTGTGTGCGCTGTGTGTGGATCTGTGACTGTATGTGTGCTGTGTGTGTGTGGATCTGTGACCGCGTGTGTGCTGTGTGTGTGTGGATCCGTGACTGTGTGTGTGGCTGTGTGACTGTGTGTGTGTGTGGATCTGTGACCGCGTGTGTGCTGTGTGTGTGTGGATCTGTGACTGTGTGTGTGCTGTGTGTGTGTGGATCTGTGACTGTGTGTGTGGCTGTGTGTGTGTGGATCTGTGACCGCGTGTGTGCTGTGTGCTGTGTGGATCTGTGACTGTGTGTGTGGATCTGTGACTGTGTGTGTGGCTGTGTGATCGTGCGTGAGTGTGTATGGCTGTGGAGCAGCGGTTTAGCGCTACGCTGCGCTACGAACCCTGCGACCCGAGTGCGATTCCCACTCACGGCCAACACCAGTGACGACTAACCGAACCGGTCCTGGTCTTCCCCAAGCTCGACTCGGCCTCAAATGAGTACCTGGTGCGATGTGTAAACATTTCCACGAGGGAGACAAAGGCGGCCGGGCGTGGTGCTGGCCACCCACCTCTACGTGTGCAATGCTGCCCTTCAAAGGTGCTCGCTTCCAGCACTTGCCCCAAAAGTCTGTTAAGCCTATACGGGGGATCTTTGTGTTTGTGTGTGCGTGCAGGCTGCTGCTTCGTGACGTTCTACACGCGCAAGGCGGCTCTGGAAGCACAGAATGCGCTGCACAACATCAAGACCCTTCCCGGGGTGAGTGGATGATCGCCACGTGCGTTTCCTAAGCACCGTGCCACTGTATTTAGCACTTCTATTGCATTGGTCTTTCTCGTGTGTTCTGCTCAACTTGCGCTATGAATGAATGCGTCCTACAAGTGAATTCCAACTGCAGTTCGCCCAGCGTGAGCCTTGCCCCCGCGGGTCGACCCCATCGCTCCCGTTCACGACGATCAACAATTCGCGCGTGCGGTCCATCGCGCGCTAATTAATGACGTCACTAAATTAGTGACAACAATTATGACGTCATACAATTGCCATGCCCGTTCAATTAATCGTGCTGATTACTTAAGACATATTTGGTCATAAAAAACACATTTCATGAAGAAATACAACCGCTATAGTTGAGCGAATTGTACGATGCAATGATCGTGGATCTTATATCGTGTGATGTATTGTAGTATCGCCCTCGGAGGGATTCGAGTACTGGTAGGAACCACCTGGTTCCACCAGCACACAGGGGACTATTGTGTCTGTCCGTCCGTCGTGCATCCAAAAATGGGAGGGGTGGGGCTGGGTGGAGAGGGGAGGGTGGGGAGGGGAGGGCCTGGGTGGGGAGGGTGGGGAGGGGCTGGGTTGGGCTGGGTGGGAGGGGTGGGGCTGGGTGGGGAGGAGCTGGTCACCCCGTGGTGCCCTTATAAAACTCACCGTTTAACCTACTCACGCCGGCTTGTGCCCGCCCTCACAGTCGGCCATATTTGCGGAATACACCACGCCGCCGTTGACCCTGGCCATTGACCGAGCAACCCAACGTTCCTACCAGCTCCCTCCGCAGGAGGAATGTGTTTAATTTGCACGGATGTTTGTGCGCGTGTGGAGCGGCGTAAGCGTTGATTGGTCAGCGCACTGCGCTACGAACCCGGCCACACGAGTTCAAGACCCCCTCGCGGATCACGTCGGCGACGATGTTAAACCGGTCCTGATTCAATTATTTAATGAATACCGAATACAAAGTGCGATGGGAAAACGTCAGTATTGGGGAGACAAAGGCGGACGGGCGTGGTGCTAGCCACCCATTCCCTCGTGTGCCGTGCCTGCCCTTAATAGGTGCTCGCAGACGACAATTGCCCCAACAGTCTGTAAACGTCTCTATATGTACTATATATACTCTTTGGTTCTTTCGGTAAAGTCACGTGGGTAGAAAAATAAAATAAATCACGACGTTTCATGCTTTCCCACCTGATGACGAAACGTCGTGATTAATTTTAATTTTCTACCTTCGTGACTTTACCGAAAGAACCGAAGAGTATGGATTCCTGCAGTCACGAAAGCTTCAAATCAAGATTGTACTCGATATGTCTTGCGTGTAACACGTGTGTGTGTGTATAGACTGCGTGTGTGTGTGCACGTGTGTGTGTGTGCATGTTTGTGTGTATAGACTGCGTGTGTGTGCACGCACACACAAAGATCCCCCGTATAGCCTTAACAGACTGTAGGGGCAAGTGCTGTTAGCGAGCACCTATGAATGCCGGAACGGTACACGAGGGGGTGGGTGGCCCAGCACCACGCCCGACCGCCTTTGTCTCCCCAGTGGCGATGTTTACTCAACGCACCAGGTACTCATTTCAGGCTGAGTCTACCTAGGGGAGGCCCAGGACCGGTTCAGATAATCGTCACTGGTGTTGGCCGTGAGCGGGAATCGAACCCGGATCGCCGGGTTCATAGCGCAGCGCGCTAACCACTACACCACCGCTCCCCACACACACGCACACACGCATACACACACGCACACACGCACACGCACACACACACACGAACACATACAGCTACACACACACACGCACACACACACGAACACACAGCTACACACGCACACACACACGCACACACACACACGCACACACACGCACACACACGCACACACACACGCACACACACACGCACACACACGCACACACACGCGCACACACACACACGCACATACACGCACACACACGCGTGCTTCATTACTACAGCCAGGTCACACAGCTGCAGCTCCCAGCTCTGTAGAGCAGCGGACAGACCCAGTCACATCTGCTGCATGACACCAGTTCCCCAGACACCCGGAGCTGAGAGATACACACACAGACAAAGGTTCCCCGTATAGCCTTGAACTGCAGCCAATTCCTATGAAGGCCGGCACAGCACACGAGGGGCTATGTTGGGAACACCACGCCCGGCCGCCTTTGTCTCTCAATTACTGATGTTTCCACACCGCACTCGTGACTCATTCAGTACTCAGTGCTGTGCTGCTGCTGCTGCTGCTGCTGTGACACTCTGAGTTTACATTATGAGACCTCCTTTACCAGTGGCAAAATATAGTAATAGGTTTTTATCCTTTCAACTGGTACAAAAACTGACACCTTTTTACAAGGGGTCATGATTGGTCCACACCCGAGACAGCTTTTCTTAGAGCCTCGTCTCCGTTGGTCCAACATTGGTCCAACACCAATTGAGAATTACTCTGAGGACAGTGCATATCATAATCATCATCAGAGTTGTTAATTTTTGTTTGCATTTTGACTGCTTGTGTTGTGGTTACCCCTTATATAAAGGTGTCAGTTTTTGTACCAGTTGAAAGGGTAAAAACCTATTACTACACTCTGAGTGTTGCGCTGCTGCTGAAACACTCTGAGTGTTGTGCTGCTGCTGAAACACTCTGAGTGTTGTGCTGCTGCTGCTGCTGCTGTAACACTCTGAGTGTTGTGCTGCTGCTGAAACACTCTGAGTGTTGCGCTGCTGCTGAAACATTATGAGTGTTGTGCTGCTGCTGAAACACTCTGAGTGTTGTGCTGCTGCTGCTGCTGTAACACTCTGAGTGGTGTGCTGCTGCTGTAACACTCTGAGTGGTATGCTGCTGCTGCTGCTGCTGAAACACTCTGAGTGTTGTGCTGCTGCTGAAACACTCTGAGTGTTGTGCTGCTGCTGCTGCTGTAACACTCTGAGTGGTATGCTGCTGCTGCTGCTGCTGTAACACTCTGAGTGGTATGCTGCTGCTGCTGCTGAAACACTCTGAGTGTTGTGCTGCTGCTGCTGCTGTAACACTCTGAGTGGTATGCTGCTGCTGCTGCTGCTGAAACACTCCGAGTGTTGTGCTGCTGCTGCTGCTGAAACACTCTGAGTGGTATGCTGCTGCTGCCACGTGGCGCTCTGCGCGTGTTACGTCGTGAATCTTCGCCACGGCGAGGGCGCTCGCTGATGGCATCTGTCGGCGGCTTCTCCCCGTGCCTCTTTAATTGCTCCAAGCCCTCCCAATCAATGAGGCAACTTTTTGCCTTCTTCTTTTCCCCGCTACATTCTTTCATTATTTCCTTCACCCGCATGTCAGTACCGTCACGCATCCCAGACGCACGCTCTTCCCCCGACAGCTGCCCGATCTTTTATTTTTTCAACCTTCTTCGCTTTTTTCCGACAGACCAGGCAGCGTGCGTCGTTTGGGGGGCCATGGAGGGGAGTAGAATAGGGGGGGGGGGCAGGGCGGGGGACAAGGTGGGGGGGGCGCAGGAAGAGAGATGCAAAACGAGGGAGCGAGAGCCGAGGGAGGTTTTCGGGGGGCGCTGGGGAGATGGAACCGTGGTGTCAGGCAGGGCGGGTGTGGGTCAGCATGCAGCCTTCATTACTGCGGAATAATAGCGTCGTCGTCGAGTATAAATTCCGATAATGAAGGGGTTGTAAGTGACATTTATCCCTTTGATATTTCTCCAGAGATTGGGTCATTACTATTGATGCTCGCCTTTTTTTACAGCCTTTGCCGACCACCCTCCCTGTATTTAAATGTAAATTGCCTCATGCGAGACGCCACGGCGAACTGAATTAATGACGGCTGAGAAAGGGGGTGGCTTTTTGTGGCACCGAGGCCCTCTTTTAAAATAGTTCTCTCGCTCGCTCTCTCGCTCGTAGTTTCTTAGACTGCGCGGCGGATAGAATTTGTGCTTTGATCCTTTAACAACAACAACAAAATACACAATAACTCTTCGTCCTGAAGTCTCGCGCAATAGATATTTCATTTTTATATCTTGTTTTTTTTTGGGGGGGGGGGTGGGTGGGGTTGTTGGTTGTGTTTACAAATTGATGCCCAGTAATGCGCGCCTTGGAGAATACATCACGGCACAGATAAACACTGCGGGACAGCGGCGGCCGCCCGGTGAATTTATCTCTGGGACGTGGAAGTCTGTGGGGGGGGGGGGGAGAGGGGGGGGGGGTGTAAGCAGTTCACAATCTATAGACTGGATAGGCGACTATGCGGGTGGGGGTGGTGTAAGCAGTTCACAATCTATAGACTGGATAGGCGACTATGCGGGTGGGGGTGGTGTAAGCAGCTCATGGGGGTGGAGGGGGCGGGTCACGAGGGGGGAGCTACCCACCTGCTCCTCAAGGAAGTGTGTCTTCTCTATAGAGTGTGTGTCTTCTCTATAGACTGTGTGTCTTCTCTATAGACTGTGTGTCTTCTCTATAGAGAGTGTGTAATTACTCTATGGAGTGTGTAACTCTGGGTTTTTTGGGTTTTCTCCCACGGACAAAAAGCCACATCATTTAATTGCTGTTGGCCGAACATAGTCATTGCAGGACCAACAGTCAAAAAAACCTCTTTGGACTAAGTGCGACTTTCCTGGACAAACCAGTCATTACTAATGACCAGCCGCTACTGTCTGTATAGCAGCTTTGTCACAGAGGCTAGGCAGTGGAACGAGCAGGAGGAAGGGGCTGGCAGTGGTGACGGCTTCAATTGCGGTGCCGGCTTCGCACTCGAACTAAGGGCAACTAAGTCGCGTTGCCACTTTTTTTCAAACCCCGGGACACATCACTCAGCGAGCGCTCGGTCCGTCAGCACACCGCCGCATTGTGACCGCTCCCCACTGTGAACTCGATTTAAACTGCAATCAGCGACCACCTTGATCTTACCCAGGCTAGCGGCATTTGGGCTATCTTCAATCCTCGAAAGTTCCTTACGAAATAAGTCTGCCGCTAAATATATTCTGGGTCGTTTAATCCCCCGG